TATCGGCCCAACGTATCCCTGATAAACTTTCCGATCGATAATACGCCGTTGCGCAATTTCTCCTGATTACAATACAAATTTGAAGAAATCTTTAGCGTTTTCGCCACTTCAGATACACGTAGATGCATTTGATTTAAGATGATTTTTTTTTATTTTCTCGATATTTTTAAAATGTCGTCATTTTGATTTTTTGTTTATTTGCGTTTTCTAGTCATTCAAATCCATTCTTTCTCGTAATTGTAATTAAAAAATTTCAAACAACTCGAATATAATTTCCACGTAAAAAGAAAAAAGAAACAATCATTTTCGATAAGAAATATGAATTACGATGTGAATCATGAATGTCGATGTCCTTTATTCGACACGCTGTTAAACTCGCTCGATCATTTTAGATTATGCTTATTATATTTAGATTATGCATATTATATTTAGATTATGCAAATCACTGGCGAGATCCCATGCGTGCTAAAATTAATCATTAACTTTTTCTTTCGTCGATTTATTTTTACTATCGTCGATCAGTGGTGCGAATTTCTTCAGGATCTACGTCATCAGTCGATCATCAGTCTAGTTTGCATTAATGTGAATTTACATATATCATAGATAAACTTTGCCTTCCTCGTATCTGAAAAAACAATGTTCGGCTGCTCTTATCGTCCTGCATACCGAGTTAACTGACTCGACGCGATCGGCAAGAAAATATACCGTTCAAGAAAGTTCGAAAGCACGATCTTAATAGCGTCGGCGACGCCGATAATCTTATTTGTCGCGCTGCGAAGTCGTCGTCCATCTCCTCCTCTCCGGCAATCATCCCCGAGGCAACCCCATTTATCGCGTGTATGCTCCGCATTCACGTACGAATCACGAGATTTTCAATTATTGCATAATACGCGTAAATATGTTTGGCACACAACATGATTAAGTATGCATCGAGACATTTTAATCATCCGCGCATTTAATACTGCAAAGACACCGGATGCAGCATCGAAAATGACATCATCTTGGGTAAAAGCATTTACAAAGGGAATTAACGGAAGTGCAACGCAATTAACTTTGGCGTATAGAAACGTATATTCCGAGATCCATTAGGGACTATGTTATGCAATAACGCTGACATTATTCTAGCTTGATAGTATTTTCCAACGTTGCCTTTCTCAGAGAACGGAATTGTTTGGTATCTCGAGAGAGAGAGAGAGAGAGAGAGCAGTAGTATCGATAGCTATTTTTTTCAATCAAAATAATATGTAAGCAACTCGACGCTTATCACGCTGTGGCCTGACGTCCAATCGATAACCGTGCCATTGCTCTGAGAGCGATCTCGTTCAGAGATGCAGAAGTCGAGAAGGTGACGTCAGTCCAGACGTAAATGATCGTTTGAAGAACGGAGTGATGTGTAGTTGTACGATACGAGAGTATTAAAAAGCTTACTACGACGTAAGACGATGGCGACCACAAGTCGAGATGAAATAGTTGAAAAGTATTTACGCGAAAAGATACTCGTAGATACAAGAAAATATTGGTTTTCTTTAACCACACCACTGGTGGAACTTTTCGTACTCGAACTTTAATTGAAAACGAATTTTTAGCGAGTGCGTATGATTAATATTCGTAATCACGTAGTAATAAATTATTTTTAATCTTTTTTATTTTCATTCAAGTTATTGCTGAAAACTAAATATAAGTTTCTTATTCAAAAATGAGATTTTAAAAAACTTTTATCTAACGGATATGATGCAATATATTTTTTTCATCCATGCGTCAGTTCATTAATGCGATAGTTACTTATTAAACCACTCTGTATGCTTAAATTGTTAAAAATTGATGAATCGTCAATTTAAATGAATCGTCAACGTAAATTTTAAGAATGCTGATATCATTAATTACTCTCTTTCTCTACGTAAGTAAATAATTATCTTATCACGTGTGACCTTTATCGACCGTGAAAATTATTTCTGCCATATGCGCATGCGACGCCATATAATAAAATTTCCGGAGTGTTCAAAAGTCGATATCAATGTCATTCGTATTTCAATGGTTTGTAATACATAGTTGGATAATGTTTTTATTGAGCACTTATCTTCACGCTATATTACGGAAAGTAACAGGCATTGGAATGCAATTAAGAAGACATTATCACACAAGTTCTATATTTAAAATATTTTGGAAGAAAATTCTTTTTTTCTACTGATATTTCCAACTCACACCTATATAAATAAATTAATTCGAGCGGCGTTCGTTACGTTCAATATAGCCACAAAAAACTCATATGCTTTGTACATATACTTAAATATGTTGTATTCGAAGACAGAAACATTTTAAATTTTGCTGAAATTGTAAGTTTTATTAGAAACACATATTAATTGATGTGATAAATATAAATAAGGAACAATTTTATCAAAATAACCATGCATATTAAGGTTTCAATTGTCGAAACAGAGAAATTGTTGCAAGTGAATTTATATATATATAAATTTATATATATATATATATATAATATATATAATATATATAATATATATATATAATTATATATAATATATA